GTTCTGGATCTGGCTGGTCCACACCAGGTATCCATTCTTCTGAAGGCTCTACTTTAATCAGCACCATCTGTTGGTCATTTGCAGGGACCACTGAGACACAGGGATATCAAGGAAAACATTATCTTTATATTCACACATACATACATCATTTCTGTTGTTGCATTAAGTAAACAGGGTTCACTGCTTCACCATTGTTGGTGATATCATGGGTTCACCATTTATCTTGGTGAGATGTAGGACATAGGCATCGCAATTGCCATCTGAATAAAGGTGCTGATAACACATGTCTGCCCCATAATAGCCGGTTTAAAAAATTTATAATGCTCTTTACTGTTCTTTTTTTTTCTATCCTGGTGGTTCACCTTGCTCTCATTCCTGGGCTCCTCTCCTTTCTTGAGCTGTCAACCAAAAAAATATATATATCAAGAATTTGTCATTACAAGAAGTACAGAGGTGTATGGAGTTATCCTACTACAGAATTGTGTTTCAGTCAGGAGTTGTTCTTAAATTAACGATTTGGGTGGTAAACATGTTTGTGTGTCTAATTTTTCATCCCAGGAACCAACTCCTTTACCACAGAAGAAACTGCATGTAGGTTGATCCTGCTTTGTTTACATCTGGGTGTGGCAGAAGAGGTATAAGAAGGGGTGACCCAGAAAGTTCAGGGGAGATCTTCACTCAATTGGCCAGAAATCTCTTGATTTGGTAAAGGCTGTTATTCTGAATAAAACTCACTGTTCAAGAATAACTTTTGTCTAGAGTCATTTCTTTAAAGAGTAACTTACCCCAAAATTTACTTTTTTTAGCTGATAAACTGCCTAGAATGTGTCTAAAATGTTATGTAGTACTGTTTCTGTGCTAATTTTGATGTTTTTTGTGCGTATTTGTTCAAATCTGTAATATTTGGTCTAAAAACGTGTTTTTGCTGCTCATATGGGTAGAGCAGTGGTACTGCAGGCTAATTTGCATTTTATATTTGCATTTCTATCACTGCTGAGATTTTGAAGACCCAGAAGAACGGACATCATCGAATACACTTCAACAGGCAAGAATACATTCATCAACATTATATTTACTTTAGTTTTTAACATTGAGTTGCTACTAGGCTGCTAGTGGGGTTGTTTTATATTCCCTTACCTGAATGTGTCTGTGAGCCAATTCTCGTAAAAAAGTGTATGTCCATCTATGAAAAAGTAGACAATAGTGTTTCAAAAACTTAGCAAAAATGGGGTAGAATTAAAAAAATTATTTGTAGGTATACATAACTCAGTAGCATGAGCAGAGGCTAACCAACTTCTAGCCACTAAGAAATGTAGCTTAGCTTAGCTAACGTTTTACCAAAAATAATCCCTAGTCAATATGTAACCGTAATATTCACTCCACACACCGCCAATGGCACCGCTGCCTAGCCTTCGTAAAGTAATATGATCATTATTATCATCTGTCGTGTTTATAAGTAGCTAATACTTACTAGCCCGGACGGTAGCAGGCTCTAGTCTCGAGGCTCGACTGTAACCATTGTTATACGGTGGCCGACGGGTGTGTTCGCGTTTGAACCCGTCGGCTACCGTACTTTTATATTTTGCTGCTGGATGGTTGCGCTGTCTAAAATACTACATCTGCTGAGACATACAATTTCAACAGATAAAATATATTTAATTAATCTCATTGTAATTTTGGCAAAAGATTATATCCACAAWATGAAATGGAGTGAAAAAAGCCCCTCATGGAATAATTTTAAAGAGTCTGATTTAGAAACATACACTGCCTCTATTGAAAAACTCACTTTAAATAATCAGAAACTTGGAAAAACAAGAACAATTTTTAAAAAATAATATCTCATAACCAGACCCCTTTGTGATATTTTGGTTGTATTTATCTTACATATTTGTTGCTTGTGTATTTTTGTAAGTTTCTTTATTTTCTATTATATTTTTGTACATCTGTCAAATTTGAAGTAAAAGATTAAAAAAAAACATCTGCTGAGACATGTACGATTAAAGGCGAGGGAACGACTCGTGCAAAAAACAAATAGGATTTATACTGGCCCATCCAGTATTATCATCACATTTCTTTAAGATTTCATTGCAAAATCGTAACGACAGTTTCTTCATTTTTCAGGGGTGCTGAGTGGTGCTAAAGCATCCCTAAAACAGGGCTAGATATGCCCATTCAGATAAAAAATTACATTCTATGAATGAGAAAAAAAATGGGAAATTATTGGCAAGACAAGCTAAAAAAATGGGATTTTTTWAAATATTATTCCTGCCATTAAACAAGGAAATACTTTGGTGACGTCGACAAAAGATATTAACAATGTGTTTAAACATTATTATGAAACATTATACACAGCCACAGTGTCTGATGAGACAAACCAGCAAGAGAGTGAACTTTTCCTTTCTAAACTGGACCTACCCAGGTTATCTCAGGAACAAAGGGAGGGGTTGGAGGCACCTGTCACAGAAATTAGGAAAGCWATTGCAGGGATGAAGATGAGGAAATCCCCTGGCTGTGATGGTTTTCTATCAGAATATTACAAAAAATATTCAGATATTCTTGTACGGGTTTTACAGAAAGTGTATCACGAGGCTTTTGAGAGGGGTCAGCTCCCTCCTACTTTTAATGAGGCATTAATATTGTTAATTAAAAAAAGACAGGGATGATACAGACCCTTAATTATAGGCCAATTAGCTTATTAAACGTGGACTGTAAAATACTGACTAAGATAATCTGATACCAAATACATACTTGCCAAATATATTCAATAAAGAAGTCAGCATCAAAGCTTTTTACTTGTAATGGGATGCTTAACAAAACCACTGGTCGGCGCAAAAACTCTGCAAACATWAAAACACGGTCTGCGCTTTTATTTTGAAATAAACCGGAAAAGCGCGTGCTGTCTGTCTCGAGCAGAGCGAGTCCTTCATTCGTCACTGAGGTCACTGGCTCGAGGAAACTGCGGGAGCTGTTGATAAAGGAAACCTCAAAAACTATGGGTAAAAACGTCTTCTACTGTTATCGTGTCACATTCAGCCAGGAGTCAACCACATAATAAATTGTTGAGGTTGTTTATTTTAAGCTAATTAATGCTAAATAAAACCTTAACTGCAGCGTTCAGGCAGGCCGACSACAGCTCTGTTTCTCCACCATGTGCTGCAGTGATTATCCGGCAGGCTGTCGGGGCAGTTTCTGTTTCTCGGGTCACAAGAATGGCTTTAGAAAATGATAAATATGCTTTGATTATTTAAGGAAGTTTATCACTAAACGAGAGATCTTTTGAATGCTAAGGAAGCTAATCTCATTACTTTTAACGTCTTGTGCGTAAACAACATAATAAAAGCAACACTTAGGCTCAAAAGGGGGTGTATAAACCTTAGTTTATTATAGCCATAGATATATTYTTATATTTTATATTGAAGCATTGAAGAACATTATGCACTTTTGTATTATTAAATTTATTTCAGGTGCTTGTCCCAAGTCTTATGTACTGTTATGCTGTAAAACGTTATTTAAAATGCAGTTAAATCAATCGACACACAATATCTTAATTGCCAAAAGATTATAGGTGGTTTTAATTATTTTTAAATATCTAAATAAAAATATGAAAACAGATATTAAACGTTTAAAATGCATGTAAGTCTCAAATCAAGCTACAAAGGAAGGATTTACATTCATGTGGACCAGACAAGAAGTTCTCGATTAGTTTCAGATTAATTAATGTTGATTTAAAGAAAACAGAATCATGATATCAGGAAGATAAAATACTTATTCTGTGCAAAGAAAGCCGTTTGCTCAGATGAATTGTAATTTGCATTCCTCTGATGGGTATTGTGTCCATTTATGCTAATTGGGATTCCTTTTTTTCCTTTTTGTCTATAACTGAAAGCCACCTTTGTACAGCTTTATGTAACCGTGTCCTCATATCCCCCCACTCCTGGGCCTCAGGGTGCTAAAAATCTTCCCTCTTCTCACCCTCTTCAGCGCCAGTAAAACGATGATGAGAAGGGTACCGTTGCCAARTCATGGATAGAGTTCCACAATGACACATGAGAACCTCCCAAGCTCCCAGCTGTCTGTTAAAGCCGCTGCCCTTCGCATGGTTGACCTTCCACTCTCCGTCTGCAGCTCGCTGGTGCAGGTGAGCGAGCGTCCGAAAGCATTTGTTTCCTTGGCGTTCTCACAGGGAGCTATTTTTGGGGGGGTACGTCCAGCTTCTGCAGTTTGTTTTGATTTGATTTATTATTTATTTAACAGGAAAAGATTATTAAAAATCAAGCCTGACTCAGCATAATTGCTGTTTTACAGCAGGTTCCTGTTCTGCAGCACATAAACACTCAGAATTACAGCATCACAATCACATCATTGTACACCATAGACACAAAGACAAACAAGCATACCAAATTTCAAAAAGGCAGCATTTGCAAAATAGGACGTCTAAATATGAGCACAACAAAAAGTGTCCAGCAGATGGCAGACAAGATTCTTCTTAAAGGGCTGTAGTTTTGAAATGGACTTTATGTTTTGAGGAATGTCATTCCATGCTTTAGTATAAACATAGAAGAAAGACCTCTTGCCGTAACAGTTTTTAAAAGTTGGTAATATCAGTTGTCCTTTTGTAACAGATCTAGTTGAATGACCACTTCCAGAATTTGATTTGGGCAACAATGCACAGAGAGTTCCATAACTGGCACCTTAGAAGATCTGAAAATATAAATTAATACCACTATACAAAACATAATTCTGAAAAGTCAAGGCATCAGACAATGAAAGAACTGTACAGTGATGAGTCCAACCAGGAAGTTTTTTTTATGAATTTTGTAGGCCCTGTTGTAGAGCCTAACTATGGGTTCTAAGATTTCATTTGTTGTAAGAGACCAAACAGGAAAACAGTACGACATGGTTGAGAGTATAATGGCATGAAGATAGATATTTGAAACAGAAGATGTCAGATTGGATCYAATTTTTGAATAAACGTATAATTYCTGTTTCAAYTTAGTGGTTAAGACTTGTACATGATCACGATAAGTCAAATGAGAATCCAAAGTAATTCCAAGATATTTGTAGGTAGTGACAATATCAAGGAGTTTGTTTAAAAAAGTGAGTTGATTTGTTATATTGATATGTCTCCTAGGCGAGGTGAGTTTGTTGCAAGCAGTGATGTGTGTGTGATTATGTTTTGGTCTAACTGATTTATGTTACAGTTTTAGGATCTTTTCTGTTATTGTCACCCACCTTGCTAAAAGCGACAGTCCTTATGTGAACCAAAGTTTGTCCTTTATATGGGAGAACTTCATTTTTAGACTTATGCATGTTGTGATGATGTATTGGTGAAAGATAAAGTCCGGCTGCTACTGTCCTGTGGATTTCCTATGAACGTTTTTGTTACTTGAGGTGCAGAAATGTTTTATTGTAAATCAGAACAAGTTGTCTAAAGCAGTATGGTTGCTCGGCAGCCGACTGGTCGACACGCAGTCACGTGGTTGTTCGGCGTTCGTTTTCACACACACCTTTCATAGCTCCCCGTGCCGAGCTCCTGGGAAACCCCCTCCCGCTGCAGCATACGTCACTGCATGGGATTTCTTCCCGGGGAGTGAAATGCGGAAAAAAAAATGTCAGAGACTCGTCAGCCGACGTTATTTATCCACAGGATTAAGATCCAAAGTTTTTATCAGTCAGATTTCACCGTGAAAAACGTCTGTTTTATCCCCTTTTATGAGTTTTTGGCCGTTTGACTCTCTTTATAAACCGCTGCTTTCTGGTGACAGTCGGCTCTGGAAGCGAGTGGTTGAAGCAAAACGCAGCGTCTCAGCACAAACAAACACTCCCAGAAACGTCTGACCAATCACACAATAAAGTTCGTATGTGTTCTTATGTGGGGGGTGAAAAGTTCAACCTGCAGGTTGCAACAAGAAGTGCCGACAATGCCAACAGAAGTGACGCAGTTTTCGTCATGAAACTGCGACAGTTCGGCTGCAGCATGCTGGAGCCTTAAAACTCTGCTTGACTTGCAGATTTTATTGAAAACAGTTGTGCAAATTGAAACTACTGAGACTCATCAGACTACATCTTGTTTTCTAAGATGATTCTAAATATTTGATCAATAAAAACCACTGGTAAACTGGTTGTTTTTACTCATTAAGACTTTATGTAAATTAAAGTCTTAAAAATCACCAAGAGTAAAACAAAAACTAGAAGATTTAGGATAGCTTGAGTAGCACTGGGCAGACTTGCAGATTTTATTGAAAACAGTTGTGCAAATTGAAACTACTGAGACTCATCAGACTACATCTTGTTTTCTAAGATGATTCTAAGTAGATATTTGATCAATAAGAAACCACTGGTAAACTGGTTGTTTTTACTCATTAAGACTTTATGTAAATTAAAGTATTTTAAAGATTTTGTTTTCCAAAATCAGGTTTCTGTTTCAGCTTTGCTTTGCTCTGTAGATGTTTTCCATCAGTTTACTCTCATGTTGCTGTGTTTCCATAAAAGCCATGAGTGTCTGTTTGATGTGAGTCATGGATCTGGTCTGATGATGATGATGATGATGATGATGATGATGCTGAATGCCTGGCAGCAGCAGTTATAGATGAAGCTCTGCAGAGGTGCACCGTTGTCATTAAATCAGCCCAGAGTCTCACTGGGGTTTATTATTACCAATTCTAGCTTCGTGTAACTT